TGATTATGAGCAGTATCTGTATTTCAGATAAGTAAAAATAGGTAAAAGAAAAAAATGTCTTAGAATCACGGAAAATGGTATCTGATATTGAAATTTTTACTTTTTTAAGAACTGAGAAATGAAGAGAATATAAGAGTATATGGAAATAAGAATTAAAAAGAAAATAGGAATGTGCTTATGGATTGTAGTATTACAGTAATTAGACCTACAGGACAATAAGCATAAATTCCCATATATGTATGCTAAAAATAATTTATGAGTAAGAAGGGAAATAGAATAATAATAATAATAATAATAATATAGAATTAGAATCAACAGAAATACAAAAGCAAAATTCTATTGTATAAAACAATTAAGAATAAAAATGTGCACTGTACATCTAGTTCAAAGATTTTTAAGAATTTTAAATTGAGCAGAAAGCTGATAGAAACACAATTTAATTATAATAAACTATAACAGCAACAAAGAGCAGTCTTCAAATAAGTATAAATTTACAAAACAGATAAATTATGGTGTTAGATAAGAATACATATTTGTAATTGTTGTCCTTTAATTTACACAGTAAAAAGTATAATTAAAATTCTAGACAACATAAGTAAAGGAATTAACTTTTAATATGATATGGTGATAACTGTCATTCAGAACATAAACCAAAAATAGAGAAAGCTATATAAACATTAGAAACATTGAAAACAAATTATGTCACAAGAATAAATGTGCTTAAGACTTAATAGTAACAAACAAGAAGAAAAATACTGAATGTAAGATTGAATTAAACATAAATAATGGAAAAATTTCAGTTATCTTGGAAGTATGGTATGTAATAAAAGAGAGATTTGAATAAAGATATAAATACTTGATACAAAACAAGCTGGGCATATGAAGAGCAATTTTAAAATGATTTACATAAAGATGTAAAAAGAAAAATGCTGAAGCATTATTAAATGCAGTCAATCTATAAAAATATGAAACTTAGACACTAACCTCTATAATCTAATTAATATCTGAAATATCAGAAAGATATGAGGAAATGAAATAGATTAGATTTGAATTAGAGCTATTTAGAACTGAATGTGATGCAGTTATAACTTTTTAGATGAAATAATTACAAAATAAATAGAGCATTGTAATGTGACCTTAAAGCTCCATCCAGATTTGCCACTTCATAAAGCTTTACTGAGAAAAAAAAAATAGGAAGAGCCAGAAAAAAATGGTTACATCTAAAAGCGTTCTAATATTGAGGAAAATATACAAAACTAAACAGAATGGCACAAATTACATCTCATTACCAATCCATGAGGATAAATCTCTAGTTTTAGAGACTGATACAATCATGATGAATAGATAAAACAAAAAATAATAATGATGTCCTACTACTTTAATGTTGCAGTACAAAATTAAAAGATTTAAAGTGATTGTTGTTTGGAACATCAATGGCTTGTGATAAACACTACAGAACTGCAGCATTATCAAAGAAAAATAAAATTATAAAATAATGTCTCAATTTTTATAGTATTATACAGTATAATAATTATATAAATTATTTTAATGGTAAAAGTTACTTTTTTTTATACTGTTTTGATCAGAATGGTAAAACCAGTATTAATCAAAATAATATATGAAATAAAAATGATTCTATTAAGGCAGTTGCATGTCACACACCCTACTACAACAGCTATTTTTTTCTGACTGCTAAACAGTGAAATGTTGTATCTCACTCAGTGTTCTAGTTTGCTTGTTCAGCTGCTGTATCTTGTGATATGAAATGTTTGAAATGGCACTGAACTGTTTAACAGTGCTGATGCAAACAATGTGGCTACATGGAAAGAATTAGTTACTGAATCAGAGCATAAGTGCAAAGTACTCCAAGACCTGTAAAGATTATTATGAAAAAGACAAAAATTTTGAATCTTAAATTAATTAATTTAAGTTTTTCATATATTCTAAAGCAACTTGAATGTAACAAGTGAAAGCACTGATTAAATACAGCTGTCCCTTGATAATCCGACAGGTATGGGACCAAAGGGATGTCGGATTACCAAAAGTGTCTGGATTACTGAAAGTGATTACATATTTGGCATTGTTTTGCTAGCAGTAGCCTACAATATTCCCTGCTCCAACTGTTCGAACAGAACTGTTCACAGAAAACACACGAAATGTGTCATAGTGTAAGAATTGGGTGGGGAGATTCATGTTGCAACATGCTTCTGTGCAAGCAAACACGTAACGGGGACGGGTACCTTGACGGGAGGTGCGTCAGACTACTGAGCACGTCGGATTACAAAACGTTGGACTATCAAGGGACAGCTGTATACTACACTTACAATTAAAAATCAAACCTGTTACTGGCATGTATTCTATAAAAAATCATCCCACAAATGTTTTCGAACTTTACGAAGTTCTTCTTCAGGTGGAAATGGAATACTTGAGAAAAAATCGAACAGGAGATTTCAATCGAAAAGTTTGCCGAATTCTACTCTGATGCTCTGTCTAGGAGAAGTGTTCTCTTAGACAGAGCGTCAGATCAAGAAGTGTTCTCCTAGACAAGTATCTGTAGTAATTGACATGTGCGCACAATGACGCATGTTCATTAGAGCGGAATTTGGTGAACTTTTGGATTTGAAATCTCCTGTTTGATTTTTTCTCAAGTATTCCATTTCCACCTGAAGAACTACTTCATAAAGTTCAAAAATGTTTGTGGGACAATCTTTTATAGGATACTCACCGGTAACAGGTTTGATTTTTGATTATAAGTGTAGTATACTTCCAGTGTTAGTAAAGGG